GGGGAGTCAGCAAGCTGCTATCGCCATTCGTCGCACGGATCGCCAACGGGAAATGAACGATCAAAGTGGACGGCGTGGATGCGGAGGGCGAGCCAACTTCGCATGAGATCGAGCTGAGCGAGTCACCGCTTCCCGGCCACAAGTACGGCAGCTCGATGGCCGACTGCATCAAGCTGTGCGAGGCTTTCGCGCTGGGGGTGGCGACAAATCTTCACACCCGCATGCACAGCCTAAAGGACATGGAGGGCAGCAAGCTGTACAAGGTGGAGTCGTGGCCGGATGCGATGAAAAGCGGGAGCGTCGGGTGGTGAGTTGGCTGGATGCTAACGCGCGTCTCTTCAACAACAGGCTGCCAGGTGCGGTGTCGCACACGTGGATTATAGAATTAGTTGAGTGATGTTTGTTGTTGCCATCTTTGTTACTATTAATGGACATGTTTTTTTTGTTATATGTTCACATGACAGGCTTCAACCACCGTGCGGCTGAGCTGGAACTGAAAAGTTCTGGCCACGTCATGTCACGCCACTACAAGGACGATGACTTCTACCAGGGTCTTGCCAAGATAATGAAGACAAAGGACTGGCCACGCAGCTTCCCCAGCCTGGTGTCCATGTGGCAGGCGATGGCAGTGATTCCGCTAAGCACCGTGGAGTGCGAGCGCGGATTCAGCTGCCAAAATGTCATCAAAAGTTGGTTGCGGACGTCGCTCGCCGACGCTCGTCTATCCAAGCTGATGACTCTCAACATGTTGGACTACGAGGCCCGAGGTGGTTGTGATCTGGCGGAAGCAAAAAAAGAGAAGACCCGTGAAAACACCTGCCCCGTACAAGCCCTATGCAGGAAAGGGCAAGGCAATATTAGAGTCACCTGATAGCGAGGACGAGCAGCCATGTGACTGAGTATAAATTATTTGTGTAGTTTAGACTTTGCGATTATAAGTCAGTGTTATGAAAAAAACTACACTGATGTTGTGGGGGTTTTTTTTTTTTTAATTTCCTTTTACACTGATCCATCAGTGTTTCCAAAAACGTCACACTGCTTAGAAGGGTTTTGAAAAAGTCCACACTGCTCATCGTGAGTAGGCAAAATCCAAACCTAAGCCCTGTCGCAGTCCCTGTCAACATGGTTTGCATGACATGCGCTATTTCCAGTTTACACCGCACGCATGTTTGACGCTCACTAGTTAACAAGCAATCCACGTTTTAGGATCCCGCGACATGTCACCCAGTAACTCTAAGGATTGGGTTGACAATAGTCTCCTTGCTAATGCCTATCGTGATCTCCACGATCACCCAATTCCAAGTTGCGCAACTTTCAGTTTCCGTAGACGTTGAGCGAATACCGAATATTTGGTATGGTTTCTGAACATTCGATTCCACTCGGTATGTGGCTTCCAAATAGTTGGAATGCGGATTACTCAATAACAGAGAAGTACAAAATAGCCGAATGCTTGAACAACAAGGTGTCGAACAAACAACCAAGTGGTGAAAAATTGATTCAAACAACACACAGCTTGAGCATCCCAAAATGTGGTATGCGGTTCGCGCGATTCGATATCCGCGCTTCGCCTCGAGTCGCATGCGGAACCGAATTCGGTGGTCAACATTGAAACTGGAATTCGGTTACCGTCACCGCCACCAAAACCTATTTGTCGCATTTGCACCGAACGTGGTTTGGTATGCGGTTGCACATTTAGGTTCGCGGAAACTGTCTACTCGACATTTCCCAAACCCCCCTTTCTACCATCCCGCATTCCCACTTTCCTCACACATTCCTACCAAAGTTCCCCATATTTCAACCCCACCATTCTAGCTGACGGTTCCCCATTCTAGGTCATTGTTTTCCACATTTGGTAGACGGTTTCCCACCACTTCTAGGATTGCGCCACCACCCTTAATTCAAGCGCTTAGGTCGGTAGTCACTAGGGCAGTGGCGAACCACCCTAACAATCTCCCCTGTGGTTTGCCAACTGCCACACACCTGTGCTCCCTTGCATCTCCTGCAGCTTGAACTTATGTTTACGCAAATAAAGTTGAAAATTTTGATGTCCAATCCTTGAGCGAATTTCGTAAGCCTCTCGCTTCTCCTCGCCGTCTTAGTACCAAACACTTCATGGGTTGTGCACCCTTCAGCATGTTCCTCCTCCGCGCGCACACGCCATTTTACAGTTCCATCCGACTTGGAACCCTTCACCCACGAAGTCCTCTTTTGCAGTGTCGAATTCCGCACACTTTGTATTCACTGCATCATCTTCAACCACGACCGCTGCTGCAAAGGCGTCGACTTCATCTCCACCATTCGCTTCCGTCACCTCCTTGTTCACAGTCTCCTTTTCCGGCTTCACTGCTTCCGTAACACTCGCTGGCGTATCTTCCGCATCTTCAATCTCATCAACCACATTCGACTTCTCCTTTAGTTCTCCCATCTCAACATACTTACGAACTTCATAGAGCTCATCCATATCATTCATCGCTATCTAGTTCATCTTGTAGAACCCGTCATTGAAGTAACCATTCGCAAACATCTCCCACTCATTACCGAACACTGTCACCTTGCCACTGTCATAAAAGAACTTCCATCCCAAGTCGTCAAGCTGTTACTGACTCACGAGATTTACCTTCAAGTCCTCAATCAACAGCACATTTTCCAATTTTACCCCTCCATACGGACGCTGCATAACTATATCTCCGTCTCCCATCACGGGTAGCTTCCGACTGTTACCTTGCAATATATAAGTATCGCTAGACTCTCTCAAATTTTCCATCCAATCTAACCTGAATGTCATATGACGCGTACATCCGCTGTCCAGAAACCATGTCGTCTTCTCAGGTCCATCCGTTGAGTGAACTTCCTTCGGTAGATGCACAAGATACACAATATGCGCTCCTCCGAGTATCACATCCTCTTTTTCTGCTTCTGCGACATTCGCCTTTGCCGCCACGCTCCTTTGCTGCGACGGACCCCTGTAGCTCTTACTATTTGGATTGGAATAGCACACTGCAGCATGATGTCTGTAGCGTCCACAATAGTTGCAGTTTTTGCGCTTCTGCTGCCACTCCACACTCCGAGTATCCGTTTTCTCGTTCTCCACCGCGTTTCCCTTGTAGTTCTTGCTTCGCGGATTTTCGTAGCAGTTTCTCGCCTTGTGCCCCATTTTTCCACATTGGTATCATGGTCCAAGTCCCCATGCTACCGCTGCATGTACCATAACGAGCCTCCCCTCTTCAAGCTCATTTGTTGTAGTTTTCTTTCTCCTCATTTCCTTAACCGTCTCAAGCGATTGCAAAATTTCCTGCAGTTACTTCAAGCTTTCCGGCGGTTGGTAAGTGAACATTCCGATATCCGATTCCCACTCCTTGGGAAGACCTTGTATGATGTAATCGATCATGTCGTGTTCGGTTTCCGCAACTCCCATCACACGCAAATCATCATTGTAGCTTTTCGCCCGGTTGATGTAGGCGATGATCTTCTCGCTTTTCTCCATGTTCAGCATCAGCAGTTGTTTCCGCATTACCTTCTTGTTGGCATCACATGTGCCCATGTACATGGACTCCAAGTATCTCCACGCTCGCTGTGCAAAATTTAACTCCCCTGCAAATTGATCCAATTCCACTTCGATTCCATCAACAACCGAAACACGAAGTTGAAAAAATGCCTTCTTATTCTGTTTCTTAAACGCCACTATCTTTTCTGGTGCATCCGTCATCGGTGCGACTCCTTCCTTTGTCAGCTTGTCGGGGCGGTAGTACGGCAAGAGCTCAACCTCCTCTGCCCTTTGAAGAAACTTCTTCCGCCACATGTTATAATTGCTTCCGTTGAAGTGTTGGGCTTCACTGAGCCCGATCGTCGGTTTCACCACCAATCGGCCACTCGCAAGGGCCTTGAGAAGAGTCTTCAACTGCGGGTCTCCATGACTCACACTGGAACCCGAACTCACCTCGTCCGCCATGGCGTAGGCGTGAACGACTCTTCTTCTCCACAAACGTTCATTTAGCGCACCAAGTGAATCCACGCCGGCGACACGACCTTTCGCCAAGCTTTGATACCAGTTCTAAGGATTGGGTTGGCAATAGTCTCCTTGCTAATGCCTATCGTGATCTCCACGATCACCCAATTCCAAGTTGCGCAACTTTCAATTTTCGTAGACGTTGAACGAATACCGAAGACTAGGTATGGTTTCTGAATACTTGAATCCACACGGTGTGCGATTTCCAAATAGTTGAAATGCGGTTTACTCAATAACAGAGAACTACAAAATAGCCGAATGCTTGAACAACAAGGTGTCGAACAACCAAGTGTTGAAAAACTGATTCAAACAATTGGAATTCGGTGACCGTCACCGCCACCAAAACCTATTTGTCGCATCCGCACCGAACACGGTTCGGAATGCGGTTGCACATTTAGGTTCGCGGGAAGATATCGGCCAATTCCCTCCGAACCCCCCCCCTTTTTTTCGCCTAGCGGTGCACTCGAGGGGCGGGAGCCAACTCCCCCCCCCCCCTACCGCCCGAAAACAGGCACCCCCAGCTGGCGCCAGCTGCATATGACGCCAGCGACCCGCACCCTCAAGCTGGCAGTGGTCCCCCCACCCAATCGAACCGAACCCCACCCTCGGTTCGTTGACAGGTTCTATCCGGTAACCGATGGAACCCTCGCCGGACGTTGCCTGGCCGACGGAACCCGTCCGCGAAATTTCGCGAGCGGACGGAGTCGGCGCCCATCTCGGCCGCACTGCACTGCACTCCACTGAAAGGACCCGTTTCGTTCTGCACTCGACCCGGGTGACGTGTTGAACGCCCCCTCCCGCTCGTTGAAAGGGGCTCTCTGCTGCATGAAAAGCGCCCCACCTCATGCAGGCAACAAATTTCACGTCGAAGCCAGTAGGGCCCCACCGCCCACCGCGAAAAGCTACTCCTCCTTGCCTCGTTGGCCTTGCTACCAAGACTGTCTCGGTGGGGGGGTGGCAACCAGCTAAACTGGAGAGCACTCTCACTTTGTTGATGCTTTCTCCAAGTTTTCTCTCGCCTTCCTACTCCCTAGTTCCCAACTTTACTGCGCTCCAGCCCTCTCTACCTATTGCTAGGCCTGCCATGGCTACGGGCCCCACCTCCCTACCCGTCGTGAACAAGCCGACGATTCACCGCGGCCTCATCCTAACCGCAGGCGGGATCGAAGTGGAGGTGTTCGAAGACCAGTTGAAGGAGCTTAGTGAGGCGCCGAGGACGGAGCTTGACGAGAGGATGGTCAACGAGGGCGTTGTGTACGTTTCCTGTCGAGCATTTTTGGTTTGCCCTGTTTTCCTGTCGCTGACTGTGCCCTAGCTTTCCGTGCAGCCCGTTCTCAAAGGAGCTGCTGTCCGTCGAGCAGCTCGCCAAACTGTCGATCGTGACTTCGACGCGTGCGCATGCAGAGATGGCGTGTTCCACACCGATCACTTTTGCGGACAACCACCTCGACGGCCTGCTCGACAAGCAAGTGATTCTCATTCTGCTGCGGACCACGTGAGTTTGACACTCGCCCGTCGCCTTGCGTGCTCCGTGTTTAGCCCTAAACCCGTGTTCACGTGCATTCGCTCTGCATGCAGCCTGAGTGGGGAACCATTCTCAGGGAGAATGAACCCTGGCCCCCAGATGCTTCCGTGGTACATGGTGAAGTTGTTTTGGAAAAAGATGGGCGATGTGGCAGAGGGAGTAGGAGTAGGAGGGGGTGCTGAACACGAGGGAGGAGGCAAGGGGGCGCCAGGCGTCATGGTTGAGTATGAATACGAGGAGGAGGAGATCGAGGAGGATACCTCGAAGCAAGCTCAGCACAGGGTGAGCGGCCCAGGCGGTGATGCGAGCGAGTACGAGGGCTCGAGCTCGGAATCGAGCTCCGGCTCGAGCTCGAGCAAAGCATCAGTCGAGCACGACAGCGAGGGCGAAGGAGGGGAAACAAATAGGTGGGACGGAGTGTAGGAAGGAGCACGGAGTGGCGCTCGGGGAGCGGGTGGACAAGAGGGCCCAACACGTCCCTGTGAGCGAGAAGCGAACCGAGCAGCACGTGACGGGGGACAAAGGTGGTATCGAGAAGCTGGAGGGCAGGGCGGCTGTGCACGAGGGTGGGACAGGAGGGCAGGATCAGGAGGGCGTGACGGCTGCGCAGGGGGGTGGGGCAGGAGGGCAGGAGCAGGAGGGCGGGGAGGCTACGCAGGAGTGTTGTCGAGGAGATGAGCGACAGGTCGCCGTAACAAGGAGACACCACACGGCCAGTGGTAGCGGACAGGCGGGCCCTTCGACCGGGTGCCCTTCGACGGCGGGCCGTTCGACGTCGGCCATTGCATCCGAAGGCCATCTCGTCGAGCTACTGCAGGGGGTCGCGGAGCTCGAGGCGTCGCAAAAAAAGCTGGTCACCGACGTCTTTGCAAAGCATAGTGAGCAAGCCGGTGTTTTCAACAAGCTTGTTGCGGATTTTTGGACGGGCTGGAATATGATTTCAGAGTCATCGAAGAGCACGCTGAAGCAGTGTGCCGACGCCGTAAACGGTGTCATGGAGGAGAGGAAGCTGCTGGAAGGGGCGCGCACGAAGCTTGACGAGATGAGCGGAAAAGTCATCGAGGGGGTGACACCCCCGCCATCACAAAAGCGAGCGAAGACGCCGTCGAGAAGCACCTGATGCATGTCGAGGAGCGGCTGGTTGCTTCTGTCGTGAAGGGTATTGAGAAATCCGTCAAGGAGGACTTGTTCTACTCCACCCTCCCACCCGAGAGCATGAAGGAGCTGAAGAACATTGTGAAAAAGGGGCTATGAAGGAACTGAAGCTGGTTGATTGGAAGTCCTCACCGAAGCGATGGCGAGAGGGTTTCAGCGCTCGGCGGGCCCGTCGACGAGGACGCGTCAGGAGGGTGTGACTGGTGTTTGCACCGGGGTTGAGCCTCGAGCTTATGAGCGCTTGGTTCCTCCTTCTTCGTCGATGGGAGGACATGTCGGCAGCCCGGTAGCATCCCCGCCGTCGCGTGCCCGTCATCTCGTCACCAAGTCTGGTGAGGACAACGAGGTCATCGTACTCAACCAATCGCCCCATCCAAAGACCTCCAAAGCGGCTCCGAAGCCTCCGCCTGATGCGTTTGCTCCCCCACGGGACATGCTGCAGGGCCTCGGGAAAAAGGGTGGGAAAGGAGTGGTTGCGGGGGAGAAAAGTGGTAACCCAATCGAGTCCGTCACCTCAGCCGAGAAAGGAGCCGGGGTAAAGCGAGGTGCCCCTAACCTGTCCGGTGGCGCTGCGGGGAAAGGAGCGGGGGAGACATGGGGTGCTCCCACCCAGGTTGTCGTCGCTGCTGGGTTGCTGTCGAAGACAAAGGCCGACTCAGCTGCGCAGCTCGGTATTGTTGGCCGTCCTGTCAAGCTTGTGGGAAAGAGGGGGTCTTCCTCTACCCCTCCCGTTGCTCCTGTCGCTGCGCTCGTCCTAGGTGACGTCCGCCTTAGCGAACTGTGTTCCCCTTCTCCTGGTCCATGCGCCTCCCCTTCTGCGTCGAAGAAAAGGCAGGCAGTGAGGAAGTCGACGAAGCGCGCAGCAGAGGCGACAGAGAGCAGTGACGTGGTGGAGCTGGGCAGCCTCCTTGGCCAAGCTCCTGTCAAGACGGCGTCTACCGTCGTTGCTGCTTGAGAGGAGAAGGCGAAAAAGGCCAAGGTGCTCGGCTACGCCCCACCTCCTCCGCCGGACGCCCAAGGCAAGATGAGGGGCGTCATAGCTCCTTTAAAAGGCCCGGCATATGGCTGCGGAAGGGGAAGCCCGTTTCGGAGCAGACCGTAGGCGGGAGGAAGCGGTTCCTGGACACTTTTGAAACAGAGGAGGACCAAAAGTTTTGAACGGCCATCTGCTGGCGCGTTTACTTTCCCGACATAGATCTGAAGGAGTACGAGGGGTTCATAGAGTAGGATGAGAAGGACTGGAAGGAGTATCTTGATGTAGCCGCTAGTATGCCCACCTGTGTTTGGAGCGTGGCGCAAGAATAAGAGGAATGTCGTCTAGATGAGTGAGTTCTGTCGAAGTCGTGTCGTTTGACTGTCATAAGCGGTTTCGTTCTTTCAGTCGAAGTGCTGTCGTTTTTTCTGTCGAAGTCGTGCCGTCTGACTAACGCATTTGTTTCGATGTGCAGTTTTCCGTCACTGCAGGCGACGGCCAGGACGGAAGTGAGAGCAGGAACCAACTGGGGAATAGCGCTGTGTGTGGCGATTGGGAAGGTTGCAACACTTGGCAACAAACACGGTAACCTGATTTATCCGGTCCCGAAGGGCATGCACGCGACACCGCACATGATGGCTATCGCAGCAGCTGTGGCAAGCTTGTGGGCGGCATGCAGGAAGTTGTCCAGGGAAGATATTAAGAAAGATGCCCTAGCTACCGTAAACGCAGCGCTCTACGGCCCGGACATGGCGAAACGGGCTAGTGCGGCTGCCATGGCCGCGCTCGTGTCCGTACTTTTGCACGTCGCCACGACGGTCCCGGCCAAGCAGTGGCTCGATCTGCTCTATTCGTCAGCTGTCGAAGGCCTCGGCTCGACTGACGCCACCCTCTTACAGATGGTGCGCGTGGCAGCACAGGTCTGTACGCAATGGTGCAGCTGTCGATCTGCTATGGGAGCCTGGCCATGCCAGAAGAAAAGAGCAAGGCGAAGCAGGGCGAGGAGGATGCTAGCGGGGCGGGTACAGGCGGGCCAGGGGAGTAGTATAGCCGGGCGCACTGCATGGGGTTTTTGCATCATTCGACAGATGTGTTTGTTGTTTGTTTGTTTTTGTTTGTTGTTTGCAATCTGAACCCTAAATGAAAAACCTACACTAGGATCCCCCCTCGTCACGGTTGTCCGTCAAACTAGGGCCCGCGCCCGATGTTCTCGTGAACTCCTTCCATTTGTCTTTGAACACCTTCTCCGCCCAGGCTGTGGTGCGGAGTTCGACGCGAATAAGCTCCAGCGAGATCCTGAGGCGGTCTTTGTCCTTCCGGTTTTCGTCTGCAGACGCGACTATGCGCTTCTTCGTGAGCTGCTTCCTAGAATCCTCGTTGAGAACGAGGCCTTCCGCCAGCATGTTGATCGAGTGTAGGTCGACGATTGAGTCTAGCTTTTCTATGACTATCGCAGTAGCCACGCTGCTGTCGTCGACCCGGAAGAGCTCGACGGCCCTCATGACAACTTCCATTTTCCTCAACTTCTTTTCGATAGCTTTTGCGGTTGGTGGCTCTTCTTTTGGCTGGGCCTCCTCTTCGGGGGGTACGGGCGATGCAGTCGGAGTGAACTTGGAGAACTTGACGGCGAAGCCCCTCTTGTATGCCTGTCAAAGACTCTGCCCGTTGAGCAGTGGACTGGGGCCGTCCCAATACAACCACGCCTGCCGCACAGTCTCGCATTTGCACCACGGCCACACCACCGCGTCGAAGAATGTTTGGTCGAGCTGGCTGTCCGCACTCTGTCGAGAGGGTGTTGCTTGTTGGGCTTGCTGTGGAGCGGGGGTGGCTCCCTCGGTCCCCATCTGCGGCACACTCTCACTGTCCCCCACAGTTGCAACCGCGGTTGTCGCCGCAATGTTCTTCAGCGCGTTGAACGCTTTCTGCAATTGCGCGAGCGCCTCTGCCTTCGCCTCCAACTCCTCCTGCATCGAGCCCTTCTTTCGCTCCAATGACTCGACTTGGTTCTCGAGGTGGTTGATTTGGATTTTTTTTTCCCTCCCTCCTCCTTGTGAAAGTTGATCTCGGCCCGAAGTTGCATGATGAGGTGCTTGGTGTTGAGCTGAGAGGATACGTCCTACACACAAGATCATGTGCAGTCAGTGGGCTGATGCAAAGTCTTCGGTTCTAGATATGGATGGATGTTTTCACCGCCGCTCTCAACATCGTGGGGTTGGTTCGCATCTCGATGCCGTACTTGTCGAGGGTGTACACGTCGTGCGCCCATTTTTGGAAATCTTCGTCCTTGCACAAACCCAACATCTGGGCATAAGGGTGACGCTCGCAGTTGCAAACGCTCACCCCAAGATCCTCTGCGATGGGCATTCGGGTGGCTTGTAGGGCCTCCAAGAAACTCTTCGCTGCGTAGTACATATTTTCCTTGTCCTGCTGGATGTTCCACTCCTTGGCCTGAACAAAAACGAACGGGGTGACATTGAGAGATATACAGGCAAAACTTGCGTCCGACGATGACGCAAAGCGCTCGACAGATCCATACCTGGATGAGCCACATCTCCGCGTTAGGAAAGATGTGGTCCTCGATAGCCTTCAGGACCTTCGGTGGCACTTTGGTCTTCGATCTTCCGATGTAATAGTCATCCGGTTCCTCAGAGAAACCCGCTTGCAGCTGGATGGCCTTTCGCGGGATGCCTATGACGTATGACCTGCGCATCTCGTTCATGTCCCATTGACCCAGCTGCGCGATGGTGTCGAGGTCGTAGTTCTTGTCAACGAGGATATGTACCGCAGACCGTCGAAAGATATGAGTGAACTTTGACAGGATCCACACCGCGCCATCCATCGCCCAAGTCATCCATTTGTTGTGTGTCGGGTACGGCATCTCGTTCTTCTCTTTGTCAAAGAGAGCGAAGAACAGGTGATTCTTTGATTAGGCTTTTGGGTCGGAAAAATCCAAGGGGGCACGATTTTGGCGTCGTTGTAGTAGAGCGGGACGAGGTCGAAAAGGAAGTGTAACCACAGGAAAACCGCTCCGAAGCTGCACTGCTTGTAGTCCATGTGTTGAGTCAAGTATCAATGGCCGAGCTTGTTGTCTTTGATGGTCTTGGAATTGCGACAGGCGACCACGAGAACGAGGATCGACGATTCCCCCTGGCTGTTCGTGATGGGCAGAAGGACGTGGGTGAACATGTTGCAGTAGCGGATAGTACGGATGCTGATCCCCCGACCCAACATGTGATGGGCCATAAGAATCATCACCCTCACAGCTAAGGCCTTCCAGAGTGACTGACTGGGGTACGCCATCGACGACCTGAAGTACACCTTGGCCCAGTGCGGCAGGATGTCTGAAACGAGAATGCGGAACTGCTCCTCCGTGTAGACATCGCCGAGCAAGCCCTTGTGTAGGTCGATGCACCTCCTGCATGGAGTGGGCAATTACAACAATGCTCGAGTGAGAAAGTGAGTGAGAACGTGTCACCGATAGAACAGACATGCGCCCTTACTGGAACTGAACGTCGTGCAGTTCTCGCAACTTGACCGCTAGTAGTTGTCGAGCCTCGGCGATGTCATCCATGGGCTTTGTTTGTGGTTCGTCGAAGAGTACGGCCTCTACTCTGCGTAAGCACCCTAGCGCAGTAAGGCGCGCCAACATCATCAGGGGGGTGCATTTTTTCGGCTTCCTTGTTGCAACTCTGGTCCGCCCGGTACCCAGGGAAGCCGCCTGTTTGTCGGTTTCCGTCGACAAGTACTCGAAGTACGAACGCAAGCGCCATTTCGACGTACGATGCCCATGCAGGTGCTCCTCGTTTCGGAGCGCCTCCCTCCAACCCGTCCCCAAATCATCAGCGATCTCCCTCCCGACCTCGTCCTCGTTGATCACCTGCTCCTCGAAAAGCACTCTATTGCATTTTTCGGGCGCCAGAGTTTTACAGGCCCAGGCCTTGTAATGCATGAAACCTGAGATGTAGTTCGGCCGAGTGGATTTTTGGTCAATTCCCTGCACCAGAAGCGTACAACGGTGAATCCTAATTTCCAGTGCTCCTGTCGCCAGGTACGGATTCTCTTCGCCTTGTTCGTCGTTGAAAAGGTGTGCGGCAGCCTCTTCAGATATATCCACCGGGGTAGAGCGCAATCCCTCCACCTCTTCGACATTGTCCGCCTCGATCTGTTCTCCCTGCTCATCATCCTCATCGTCCGTCTCTTCAGGGACGTGTCTGGCTAAGTTTGCTTTGCTGGGACTTTTCAATGAGCGCCTAGGCATGGCGGGAGTGGCTCGCGAGGCGAATGTACCAGCTGAAGGTGGTGGGCGAACCTCCGCTGGAACCTCCTTCCCCCTCCTCCTACGTCGCCCATCAGTCGAGCTTGGGTCGCCAGCTACAGGATCCGCGTGTGTTGTCGAGTGGTCTGCGGTCGATGATGGTGCACCCTGGTTTGGAGTTTCGTGTGTTGAGGGAGGGTTTGTTGTCAAGATCGGTTCTATCACTACAGGTATGGAATGCGCCGTCGAAGGGACTACGGTCGGTGGACCCCCCACTTCGACATTGACAGCACTGTCCGTCGAACGCTGGTCCGTCACAATGGGCTGAACCACTACTGGTATGGATCGTGACGTCGAGGGGGGCGCTGTAAATACCAGTATGGCTCGCGACGTCGAGGTGGGCGATGAAGAGACCGGTATGGCTCTTAACGTCGAAGGTGGCGCTGGAGAGACCGGTATGGCCCGTGACGTCGATGTGGGCGCTGTCGAGCCTGGTATAGTTTGTGACGTCGAATGTGTCGGTGTCGAGATGGTTCCTACGTTGACATGTAGTGGTCCTACACCTGCCTGCCGTGAAGGCGTTGTCCTCGGCGTTGTCCTGCCTACCCGTAAGCTCTCACATCCGTGGCGTTGGCCTACAGGAAAAAATTGTGTACTGAGCTTCCAGTATATGATTGGGTTTATACCATGGTTGAGCTGATTTTCCTTCCCCCACAGATGCCCTCTA